CATTTATAAACAAGTTTTCTATGGCAGTACGTCATCATCCGCGTTTATCGTGCTCATTCTCGTTCTTGGACTTGTTTCGCATTGCTTTGACTTTTGCAACAATGAGGATGCAATTGCGGCTGCAAACAGGAACAGGAAGCGGCCCCAGAAGGACCAATAAAAACATAGCCATCATCAAAGGACTCCCTCTACCCTCTCTCTCCTTGTACCTTCGTAATTCCGTGTGCGCAAAACCTAATTACTTGCAAATACTGTTTAAACTCATTCCCAGCTGCCGCTTCAGGCATTTGAAGAATGTTTTTTCCATTATTCATTAAATGGGATTCTGGGTTGCACTCCCCTCAAATCGGGCAACTAATTTGGGCACTGGGCACACGCCCTGTTGAGATCTCGAGAGGAGCATCAATTGCGCATCGAAATGTTTAAGCGTAAATATTATTAAATTTAAGATTTGCACCCTTCAGAGGCTGTTTCACAGTACCCTTCCACACACAGAGAGAGAGAGAGAGAGAGAGAGTGGGTGAAATTGCATTTGTATTTAAGGGCGCGATTGGAGTACTTGATAATGCTCACTTGAGTTTAATTCGCAATTTGCCTTACAACAATTTGCATAAAAGTTAATCAAAGGGACAGCAGAAGGGAGTCAAAGAGCTACTGTGGAGCAAACAGAACTGATTTTGCTTAGACTTGAATTAACCTAGAACCAACCGTAAAGTGGAAAAGATCTTGCACACTCCGAATTGTGGCTCTCAAATATCCCAGCACTCTGCAATACATAATTGAACAATTAAAGTTAATTGAGCATGATCCGAGGATCGCTCGCATTCAATATCTCCATCCCTGCGATCAGAGATAAGTATCTCTGAGATGCTTCACTTCCTGTTCTGAAACTAAGCCGAACAATAACCCAAATTTCGACAGCTGCCTCCAATGGAAGTTTCAGCTAAATATTCAAATCCAATTTCTGCATTCTTTGCAGAAAACAAACACCGCTCTTTCGCTCTTTCCCTCCTCACGTGAGTAGTAGCTCAAGGTGAGGTTTATTATGGAAATACGATTTTGCTGGGGCAAGCACGAATGGAGGGCCAAGCCAGGTGCTAGTCGATGCACATGTCTTTGTTTACTCATTCATACACAATACTTCTCCCTCGGGCTATCTCTTTCATAGTTCAATAAAAAAGCGGAGAATAACCAATTGATTTGCATGGCAACACACAACACACAAATTGGCATGGACTCTCGATGGAGAGTCCAGTCCAACACCCCGAAAACTGCTGGCAAAACGGAAATGCTTGATTAGGGGTTCCTCCGTTTTGGTCGCTGGGCGGGACGTAGGCCGTGGTTCTGGTACCCTTTTCGCCTGAGGAGTTAGGGGTTGCTTAGACAGGGGGTCGGATCGGGTCGCATCGCGGCTTGTTTGTTTGCACTTTACACAACACAACACACACACACACACACCATTGTTTGGGTTACCTTTTTAGCTTGTAATTTATATATTTTGTATTCTTCGATTGTATTCGCCGGCTATCAAAATAAAAATTATGTAGCCAGGCGAACGGAAGGTAACGGCAGAAGGAAGGGTGGGGCAAAGCCAGTCCCGGCCAGGGGTGTGACAGGGGGGCAGGGGCAGAAACCATGCTCTTAGGCTCGTGCATTGTTTGTTGTTTACTCTTTCTTTCATTCACGGGTTCTCTGTTTTTTGCTGCACTGAACACCCCTCACCCTACCGCAACCCACTGCACCCCTCCCTGCACAAAGCCTAGACCGTGTCTGATACGTAAGAAACAGCCCTCCACTGCAAAAAGCATTTGCACGGACCGTTTGTTCCTCCTGATGTGATGTTTGCTTTAGCCCATACCTTTGCCCATGCCCATGCCCAGGACCTAGGCCCGGAGACCATCAAACGTTCCGTGGAACGTTTTCAAGTTGCGGAAGCAATTGCGCGTGCTGAAGTTGTCGAATGCCTCAAAAACTCGGAATGGCAAATGGGCACGGGAACAGTAACGGGCATGGAAATGGAAATGGGAATGCTGTATAAAGCACAAAAGGCAACAACTCCTCCAGTTCTCTTCAGAGCACGCCTTCTGCACTTCCATCACTTCACCCTGGCAGTCCCTGGTTACTGGATGGTTCCTGCATGGATGGACGGCATGGATCGCCTCGTTGGCGCATTTCAAAGCCTGGGTTTGTTTGCTTAAGCTCTTTAAATTAGAGCGTGAAAAGTGTGAAACTCCACGCAGAAACCTCCTGGTAAACACTGAACGCCCAGACCCAGAGCAGTGGCCATACACTCTGGACCCACCCTAGGGGTCTTTGATTTATGGGAACTGCTGGAAAAATGTTAAGCCATTTTTGACTTGCCATGAAGCGTATCCACGTTTTTGTGGTTCAGTTTATAGCTTTCGAGGCCCATATTGGGTTGGATTCCCCATAGAAGGGAGAGCAGAGTCAATGTCAATTAAAGATTGCACAAGTTCAGATACGAGGGTGTAGGTTAGGGTGTGCCCGCCATTCCTTTCCAGGTATTAAGCATTAAGTATCTATCGGATTAGTTACACTAATTGCTTTTTGGTTGCCGCTGCCGATGACGCAGCGATCTTGTTAAGAAATATTTACAGAGGGTTCGCTGCGCAGGGTTCATAGTTCAGGTAGAGATAAAACAGCAGCTAGCACCTGTACTGGATTAACCTTGTACGAAAACGGTGCATTCTACCTGTGTACCAAATTATTTTATTAGCTTTTCCCTTCTTTTCGGATGAAGGATCTACAAGAAATACAAAGAAATGGGAAACACAAAGCATTTGGCACTTGTTTAGACTGGAATTTCCAATGAAATTTCACAGCGTGCACAGCAATAAAATCAAGGGCCTACCACTGCACCTAGCACCGCTCCCTCAACTAAAACAATTGCGAAATATGCACACACACACATACAGTATGTGTAGCTACCGAATAAGTTGTGGTGTTGGGGTGGCTTGTGGGGGCGAAAGAAGGTGAAAAGAAGACAGCAGCCAAAAGGCATAATAGCAACAACTAAATAAACAAAGCTTGAGAGGTGACGCCTGAGTGAGTCACGGTCACTCTCACACATTCACACACACAAAAGCACAGCGCTCTCAGCAATGGTCAGACATGCGGAGAAAGAGAAAGAGAAGAGTGGAGAGCGTCAGAACAGACCCCCCCCCCCCCCCCCCCCCCCCCCATCAAACGTTATGTATCGTGCCACAATGCTTGGGTTAAACGCCCCACATCCCACACGGAAAACGGTAAACAGTAATTTCGAAACATAGAGTTTGTGGAATAAAGACTCACCCGTTGGCAGAATGGCATTGTTCTCCCGACGCCATGTGATGGACGGAGTTGGATAACCGCTGGCAAAGCACTCCATTTGGACCTCGCTGCCCTCGCTGGCCACAATCGATTGCGTGGAGTTGTCGGAGATGACGGGCGGGCGGCGCACAGAGAGCTTGACTTCGGCGCTCACCTTGTGCACGGTGGAGATCACCACCTGGCAGGTGTAGGTGCCAGCGTCCGTCTCCTGGATGTCCTTAATCTGCAGCTTGTAGGTGGAAGAGCTGGGATCGTAGCGCAGCGAGAAGCGCGAGTCTTTGATGACGAGCGTGGAGCCCGTGGAGAGGAAGACGGGATCCGAGTCAGTCTTGAGGAAGAGTACATTGTACTCCTTGGCATACTGAACGGAGCAGTCGAACTCGACAGTACCGCCAATGTCCTTGATCTGCTCCTGTGTGATGTACGAAATGGTTGGCGTCCTCTGCGCTTCTGCCTGCGTGGCAAGGAGGGCCAGTCCCAGCAGAAGGGCTCCTGCTAATGTGCTTCCCACGTTATTTACCATCTTGGGGCGACACATATATTTGTAGGGAAAACTTTTGATGAATTCGCCTGAGTTTCGCGTGAGCCAAATGTGAAAAACGCGCCCAGCACCACACCCTACACAGTCGAGAGCTGTTAATAACGCGCGAGAGGAGCTGAGAATTCTTGGCTGAAGAAAAGACGCTCGCCAAACTACGATCCACGTAGAAGAGAGCAGCAAGAGAAGGCGACTCCAAAATAACACAGGTAGTGCTGTTTCGCTTACTTGCACGGGCAAGAGCGGATGCTGTTTGCGAGACACACTTGTCGGCTCGCTCTAAGCTGGTTTTCAGACTCTTTGCTCTCTCTCAATGACTCTTAACTGGTTGAGTATGTATGCATGTAAGCCGAGTTTGATCAGCCAGAGTATTTTTCACACACGACGCAAGAAACAACTTGACTCTTTGAATGGCGCGCAACGAATAAAACAGTCGCTTTGAAAATTGAGCCTCTAAAACTTTTGAGTAGTGTGACCGCTCACCTATTCTCAAATTATACCGTAAATGTGCCGAGTACAAATCGAAGTTAGCCCACTTAGGCCCCCGTTATTTAGACAGGTAAATAAAACGATTTAAGCTATGATTATCGACGTCATTTTGTAATTAATAATACATTTCTGATTTCCAAGGCGCTTTAACGTTTTCCTTTTCAAAGATTAAACTATGCATGCATTATTTTGGGTTTCTCTGTCAGTATCTTGGTCTTGATCATTTTTGGTCTCTTGATTGGACGATAATCTCAAAAATGTCATTAAAATATCTTTAACACAGAGAATAGAAATGTATGTATTTAAACGGAACGGGTATGATATGTAGATTCATTATTGATACGAGTCACACACTAGACTTTTCTTCTAGAGGGAAATAGAGCTGCCAGATGGCACTAGCGATAGTATCGGTCGCTGTCAAATAGTGTGCCATCTCACTATCAGGGCGTTGCTGTTGGAAAACGATATACCTTATATATATCGATAAGATACGATTATTTAGGCGCGCATTCAACCTCTCATTCAAAAACTCAGCCTGCAACGTTGGAGCCGAATATGAACCAATAATCTCATTAATAAAATAACAATGTTGAATTTCTTGGAGTCCAAATATGTTTGGTTTGATTGTTTAAAATGTTTTTATTTAGATTTCGCATTTTGCAATATTATTCAGTATTTGTATGCATACTTTCTATTAATTTCTGGGTTTTTTCTTTCGTTTTCTACGCCTTTATGATTATATTGTATAACATTTTGTATGAATGAATATTATAGAGTGATAATAATATAAATTATGTATGTAGATCGAATTTGATCGATGCTGTCCATGCGCCTAGTTTCGTGTTAGTGTTCAACATTGGATTGGTATTTAATTTCAATTAATTTAATTAGTTATTGGCTTTACCGTATATCAAAGTGTGTGTATTGTGTGTATTAGATCGGGCGCTTAGAGTTTGATTTTGATTTCTCAACAAGTATCTAGTATTAAGTACATGTTTAAATGTCTATATCGTATTTGTATTTGTATTTGTATTTGCATTACGTGTTTGATTTTCATTTTGTTAATAAATATCTGCTTATGCAGGCGCTTAAAAATCTAAAAGCCAAATACGAAATCGTAAAAACCTAAATTAAAAAAACTCTCGATCTATCCATGCTCCCAACAGCTTCATGGGGAGTTCGATCATCGAAAGTTTCCACGAGATTCAAGAGATTTGCGACTTCAGAGTGCAGTGCAACTGCGAGTCTTATTCATTGCTTCTTTACTGTGTGTTTGCATAAAATATAATCATATAAATATGTATGTGCGGTACTATACCGCTGCGCAAAAGTATAAATTGTAAGGATTAAGGATTAGTGTTGGCTACGACTACCCCATAAAATAATCAATAAATAAATTGCTCTAAGTCAACATATGAGTTAAGATAAAAAGCTAAGCGAGAGTCGCCTTCTGCATGGTATCAGCTGCCTCCAACCCAGTGTATTCCAGTCCATTGCTGCTGCCGCTGCTGCTGTTCTCCTGGTGGGTTTCCTCCTTCACTTATCCACTGAGACGAATTAGTTATTTTGTGAATTAAGACTCCATTGTGCAAACTGCTCCTGCCATTGGCTATTCGCATTTGCCTGTGATGGGGCGGGGAAGAAAAAGGTAAATTGGGTTTAATTTCGAGACATTGCAATGTGAAATATACGATATAGCCATACTCAAGTAAACTCTGGCATGCAAAGGCAATCGAAAAGTGGAAATCAACTACACTAGCTACGGGATACAGGATATACAATAAGTAGAGATATAGATCAAATATATATGATTGTTTCTATCGGGTGCATGTCTAAGTAGGAATAGTAGTAACAAGGATTACAAATGATAAATACAACGACAAGAACAACGTCAAGAATCAATTTGAGTAGGATTTCAGAGCGAAATCCTTTACCTTTTCGGTCCACTCTTGGTTATATGATTGAGATTCGTCGAAATCTGTAATTGTATCAAGTTTTGCGATAAACATACATAAGTGTCATTGATAAGACCAGAAAGAACCAAACAAAAGATCCAACAAACAAAGATAATTCATTCGATTCCTTGTTCAGATTTCAGTAAGCAGCCAACACATGAAACATACGAAAGTATCTAAACTAACTAGGATGGGCTGACAGAGAGCTACGAGATAGAGATACGACTGAGAGTGCATCCGTAATGAGATCTAGTTAGAATGGAATAGAATAGAACAGAGCAGATTGGAGTGGAAACCTAGACAGCTACCTGCGAGTGAATGGATTTGGTGAGCGATTCAATATGTCTCTAGATCAATGGCAATAAGGCAAAGAATATTTTGTGGATATATTTTACCTGAACGAGGAGTATATCTTGTAACCTAACGACGAACGGATTATATATTCAAACTATACTTCATGATATAAGCGTGCATTATCAACTGCAGTTCATCGATTGTCTCACCGATCTCGTGCAGGCCCGGGAACCCCGCCTGGTCATCGTCGATGAAGAGTTCGGGATGGTTCCGATAGCCCAGAATGCGATTCACCTGCGACTGCTCATCGCCAAGGCCGAAAGTATAATCGAAATGAACCGGCGACAAGCGGGAATCATCCATATCTGAATCAGAGTCTGGCTGCGACGTCACGACGGCAGAGGCGCCTTGGCACTCGTATTCCCCGTCGGTGCGGAAGATCTCCTCATACACTTGGCAGTTGCACTCGTTACACTCGCACTGACTCGAGCCCGAGGACTCGCCGCCCTCGACGTGACGATATTCTTTTCGGGTTTTGTTTGTTTTTATTTTGCATTATTCAATTTTTGTAATATGTATTTGCCCGTTTTGTTGACATACAAGAAATGAGGCAAAAATTATAAAAGAAAAAAGAAACCAAGGAACAGAGAAGTAGAAGCGGAAGATTCAACTCAATATTTGCAGCATTTTTTCTTATGCCGTCTATTTGGGTAATAATCTAAAATCAAAAGCAAACAAAAAGTAAGAAAAACACAGTTGAGATTCAGCCTCAACGCAGGCCTCGAAGTAGGAGGAGGTTGTAGAGGATAGGGTACAGGACAAGAGCAACGACGTTGGCACTAACGCGACAGCGACAGCGACCAGGACAACTTACCCAGCGGCAGTATGAAACGAGCCTGGGGCAGGGAGCTTCCACTTTGTCCAGGTCCCGCTGCCCGTCCTGCAAAAGCGATAGAGAGAGAGAGAGAGACCCCAAAAAAAGATACGCACACAGAAACACAGAGAGTTAAGCGTGGAGAGTGGATTGTACATTCCATTCAAGGCGGTGATTGGGTTGTGATTGCAGGGGAGAGGGTGAGTGGAGGAGGCGGGTGTTGGCTCTATAAGCGGTGCTACTACATATCATTCCATGTGCTTCTAATTGTAGCGGTGCATGAGCAGTCCAAGCAACTGGCGGGATCAGATCAGCAAATCTTCATTAGCAATAGCAACTGCATGTCTGCATATCGAGAAGCTTTAAGCGGGGAGCTCATCACAGATATAGACACAGACAGAGAGAGCGAGAGAGAGAGAGAGAGAGAGTGAGCAGAGTGAGGCGGAGAGCGGGGGAGGGTCCAACGATTTACCTGCATTCAGGTCGCTGACCATGTGGGTTATGGCCGAGGTTAGATTATCGGCGGCTTCATTGAGCTCGGCATCGGCTGGACTGGGACTGGCATTGGTGGGACTGTTGGTGCGCATTGGCGGTGGCGCTGCGAATGCGAAGCGTTCAAGAAATGTGTGTGTGTATGGTGTGTGTGTGTGTGTTTGTTGTGTGTGTGCCACAGTGGGGTGTTTGCTCCTCTCCAATTGTGGAGAAGGAGCCATTGAGTGGAGAATTCATATTAATATCTATCCAACTGTTTTACCATCCCAAAATCTCACGCGTTAACCAATTCCCAAAACAAATTTCAATCAATTTTGGACAATACGCAACCAGAAACCCTCCATCCCCATCCCGCATCCCCCATCCCTACTCACTTGCACTGCCATTGGCCGCAAAGGCGCTGCGCATATCGGTGCTGATCAAATTGAGCTGATCCAGTTGGCTCTGGCTGAAGGGTCCATGTCCCTGCTGTTGCTGTTGCTGCTGCTGCATCTGTTGTTGCTGCTGTGCCTGCATCATTTGCTGCTGGCTGACCCGCACTCCAGGTCCACCCATTGGATGCTGCATTTGCTGGGCATGCAGGGCACTCATCGGCGAAGTACCAAGGATGCCAGCTCCCCCTCCGCCAGGCATGGGCGGCGACTTGCCCGAGCGAGGACTTGAGTTGGGCGTGGACCGGGGCGAGGCAGTCTGTTGGTTCTTCAGCATTCGCATCAGTCCTTCCAGCTGCTCCATTAGCTGGCGGCGCGAGTCCTGCAACGCACCGAGATGACCCTCCAGCTCCCCTTTGCGCTGTCGCAACGCACGCAGCTCGTTGATCAGGGCCGGATTCTCGGGGGCCATCTGCTCGGTCTCCTGCTGGCGACGCAGGCGGGCTATCTCCCGCATAATCTCCTTGTTCTTCGACTCCAACTGGGCGATCAGCTCACGCTGGGCACGCGAGTTGTCCGTGCCAATGGGCGTGGCACTCTCCGACATATTCGAAGGCTGCGGAAAAACAGATTGGATGAGTGGCTGGATTGGAAGGTGGCTGTTGCTACTCACTGCTCGGTTCTCCTGGGCCAGACGTGCCGCATAGCGGGCAATCAGGCGATGCTCCTCATCGTTGGCCGAGGCGGCGGCTAGTCTAGAGATGGTGGTGCCGCCGCCGCCGCCAGTGCAGGCGGCACTGTCTATGCTGCGGCCGGTGGCCCGCGAGTCGAGGGTGCTGGAGCGGTCGAAGATGCCGGGCGGTAGGTGGCCGTGGTGGGCGCCGGCGAGGGCCAGCGTGGGATCGTTGAAACCGTTGTGCGAGGGCAAAGGCGAGGGCGGCACGATGTGCGACAGGTTGAGGGTCTTTTCGGGCTGGTCCGGGAACCGTGGCAACACTTGCGTCGTCTTCTCGGGCACACAGCGGAAGCTCTTGCGCAGCGAGTGACCAATCTGTTTGCTGGGCGACTTGTAGCTCGAGTACTCCTTGACCTCGTGATCGTTTTGGTGATTCAGCGATGTCTTGCCGTGCCAAAAGCACTCCTGGCACAATTGGTAGGCGTGGCACCGCTGACAACGGTAACGAAATCCGGTGAAGTTTTCCTTGTGACAAACAGAGCAGATCGTCGGATGCACAATCGTCTCCACGGTGGCCAGCCTATGCAGCAGTGGCAGCCACACGAGGCACGAGGGGCCCGGTTCGGACATAAGTGTTGCCATAAAATCGTTCACCGTCACCTTGTTCTCCGCCGGAAAGATCTCCTCCTCGAGGCCCTCCTTGTAATGGAATGTAGGCGACTCATAGACAGCCGCCGGCAATGCCAGCACCTCCCGCAGGAATTCCCCCAACTTCCAGGCCACCAGCTGTCCGGCTCCATCCGAAATCTGTGAAAAGATATCTGCAACGCACGAAATAGAATATGGATTAGTCTGTAGATTAAGTCTCGCTCTCTCTCTCTCTCTCTCTATCTGTCCTAACTGACCCCTTACTCACATCTAAGTTTGTCCACCAGCTTGCCAGAGCACATAGTGGCCAGTGCCACTTTGATGGAGAACACACGAATCTTTCCCGAGTTATCACTGCGATGAATAAGAGAATTCAAATTAATTTAAAGGGGATTTATTAAAGGATGTCAGATAATGTCCACCCACCTTGTATATGCAGCAAGCAGCCAGTTGAGCAAGAGACCCGCTTTGGAGTCCACCGGCACCTGCTGGGCGGTGGGCAGACGTTTGTTCAGATTGTGATACAGCGAGGACACGAGCGTCTCCAGCCGTGCCACACTGACCTCGCTCTGTGGCTCCAGAGTGTTCAGTCCATTCTCGCGGAATGCCTCGATCACGTTCCATATGTCCACCAAGTGCAGATTTGTCGACTTCTGTATGTAGCGCAGCTTCGAGGCTGTCCTGTACGAGGCAAAGCGTATGGAATCGAAGGTCTGTAGACGCAGATCCTGCAGGATGGCCACCCGCGGCTCCAGCTCCATTCTGATGTGCTGGCTGCAATTTAATTAAAACATAATATCCACATACACATTATTATAATAGAACATAATAATAGTTTTCACAACAAACAATCTGGGTCATCGCTTGTGTGTGTGTGTGTGTGTGTGGCAGCCACAGGACACGTACAGGACATACCAACACAGGCATTCCCATCACCACTCCCAACCCCACATAGTTTGTTCTCTCTCTCTATTTTCTTTTTTATTACAAGTTCCATTGTGTTTGGGCGTCTGCCTTCGACATCCTTCATGAGGTTGTCGTTGTCGTTATCGTCTGGCTGGCGACAGCCACAGCAACGGAGGCCACTGTGGCACGCGTTGGCTCCCCCGTGGCATTCGCCGGATGTGGAAGTGAGCAATCCACAGAGGCAGAACTCTTCCAGAGGCAGAACACCCTTCCATTTTGCAGCTACTGATTGGAACAATGCAAATTTAATAATCCGCCACCAACGCTCAAAGTTTTTACTTTCATAAACCGCTTTGCCAGTCCAATTAATCGACAAAAGGCTTCTGCTATACTCCCTATCTCTCACTCTCTCTCTTTCCTCATGTCCCATGCGCAGCATCCTCATAATTTCCTTGTTGAGTCAATGGCAAGCATAATTCATGGAACGACAACTTCAGACTTCACAAGTTGCTGTCGCATCACGCTTCTCGTTCCAAGACTTCAAATTGATTTTCCATCTCTCAGAACAGACAAAATAAAAGAAATCATAACGGATATAGACAAGAATGGTTTCAAAATGGAAAATATCCGGCAATCATTCTTCATACTGGTAGAAGGTAATACCAAAGTAGAGGCTCTTTCAATAATAAATGTGCCAGGTACATCTTTTGCTATTTTTTCGTTTTTTTGGAATTACTCGTAAAGCGGATGCATCCAACTCTGCGCTATACATTTTATGCTTTGCACTCAAAATGTACCCAGCAACTGTAGCTTTAAATAACCTTTACAAAAAGGAGAAAGAGGACCTCAGTGAGTCATCATACGAAAAACAAAATAAGTAAGGAACGAGTGTAATCAGAGAACTTCTCTATGGAGATCTGGTTTCAATTTCTGTCTCATAGCGCACACACACACATATTGTGTCTGCACTGTCCTTTGCTGTCGTGTCCTTTCTGGCCAATTTAAAGAAGTCCTGCCATTTAAATTCTGCTTCCTTTTCCTGCCACGTCCTCGTCTTTACAAAATGATATTTGTAGCAGACCACATCGCCACCCACAGGGGGCTGTGGAGTGAGGGAACAAAAATGGAATTCAATTTCCAAAACTACAAACTTTTTGTGTGAAAGATGAGGAGCTGATGAAGATGATGATGGCAGGGCATCAAGCCCGTGGAAGTAGAACTAGGAGGGAGGGCAGGATGCTGCTGGTGATGACTTTGATGATGATGAAGATGACTCATAAGGCGCTCTTCTTTTCCACCACTTGGGCATACGAAATAGAGCAACAACAGTCGTCGTAACACATAAATACATAACCCACTGAAGAAAATCAAGTTTACATATGTACATACATATTTGCATATGTCTATTTATGTATTTTTTGAATGGAAATTCTCTAATCCGCTAAGAAACCTTCTTAGAAATCTAAAAACACACAAAATGTATCTTCAAGTGCTCGTTTAAAGATTAGACCTGTTTTCATTTTCTCAGCGTACACATATGCACCCACACACACACACACACACACACACACACACACAACGCAATCACGTATTCTTGGAGAACGATGCAGAATGCTGGGAAGCTTTGCAAACATTTGCGCACGAAAGTATGCAACAAGACCTGGCTGAATAATTTGAGTTTTGGCCAGGAAGGAAAGAGCGAGCATAAAGAGGAGGAAGGAGACAGAGAGAGAGAGAATGCAGAGAGGGGTGCGGCATGGTGAGGGAATTCCGCATTGCCAGGGGCTGCAGCTGAGGCTCTTCTGCCGCTAACGCCGCTGCTTCGAGCCAAGAGCGATGACATCCTGCTGCTCCTCTTCTACGAGTTTGTGCCAAGTGGCCGCCCTCCGATTACACACATACAGAGGGGCAAAGCAGGGCCGGGAAAGACCCCTATTTGTGTCATTCAGAGAACTCAGCACTAAAAAATTCTCTTTTCAGTCGTTGTCAGCATAAATGTATGTGTGTACGAGTGTGTACATAATGTGCATAAATAAATTCCATCGCAAAATGCTCTCACGACACCTCACCAAAACCCACACGTTTTTCCCCTTTTAAATGGGATTTCCCCAATTGCCACTTTTGTGCTCCTCCAACCGCAATTGTTTCCAGGCCTTTGCCGCTGCTACTGTTGCTGTTTTGGGGCTTTGGGGAATGTGGTCAAGCAGCCGCAATTCATGCAGATGACTTGCTTGCTTTACTTAGTCGCCATTTACATGCATTTAATCTTCCCCAGCAAGCCGCAAAACTTTCCTAATCGAAACTGCTCTTCGGGCGACACTTTGACAAGAACTTTCGATGCAACTTTCAGACATCTCAAACGTTGGGTCTATGTCAACAGACTCGAATGTCATTACCGGAGGAAATTGCAATTGGTTTCAGGTTGGGGCACAGCATCGCGACGGCTGGCTTGCTCCTCGGAAATGGGTTGACCGGAATGAGGGCAAGCTTAATATGTATTGTAGGTTCATAAATATATATATACAATGTGAATATAAATAAAAACGTACATATACGATGTCGTCTATTTATGACATGAAATATCATGGAGATATTTCGAAATCTATCAAACTGTCTGGGGCTATAAATATGAATGGAAATGAATGTAAAAAGTTTCAAAATGTTTCGTCTAGATATAAGGATTATCCATTTAATTCAATCAAGACAAGGAAAAGTTATAATTAACTTTTACTGAATACTTAGCAGAAACATTGAATCATTCGTCATTCACCCACTGCATAGGTGACCTCAAGTGAACCCTAGTCCGAGGTAGAAGCAGGAGCTCACGTAGATGCTCGATTGGCTAACGGACCAGCAAGAAGGAGCATTGAAAAAAATAGGAGCAAAAAGAGAGCGAAGCAGCATAGATGAACTATGAATGGGTGGGGGTTGGCAGGGTGGCACGGACGATGGCGTGTCCAGGGAACTGCATCAAAAGATTTCAAAGTTCTTTCCTCTGCATTGCTTTGCTTTTTGTGCTTTTCCCGCAACAGAAATTAAACAAGTTTTGGTTGAAAGTTGTCCCGTGTCCGGTGCCGTGTCCCTGTCCGTGTCGGTGTCCTGTTTTGTTCTGTACGCTGACTGCTGTGTTGTGTTCCATTTGCGTGCCAGAGAAATCAAAGTGAGAAATAACCAACCGAACACTAGCGATGATAGCCGGGCCACATAATTTTGCAATTTCAGTCGTTTACAGAGAGCTAAGCAGGAATGGCGGGATAGCAGGAGGGAAATCGTTTCGTTTCCATGAAAATTCCTGCTTTTCCGTTTCTGAAACGAGTCAACAGGCAGACAGAGCACGAGGTCGAGGTGGGTTTGCATGTCTGGCAAAAATGATGATCGACTAAAATCGCAGCAGGCCGTGCAATAACCTTTTTTCCCCCTTAGCAAACTAAAGCAAAGCAACCCAAAGGCAGGGGCCAGACACTAACTGGAACTGCTACGTTCTTAATTGAAAAATTTAGCCAAACAATCTGCTGCCGCCTAAAACTTCGATATACACAAACACAGTGTACGCTTGGATACATGAAACATCAGGGCACACAAGTAGTGAGTACATTTTTGGGTGGTAGCTACACTGTACATGCAGACACGTAATTTCCTACACAGGAATGCAGCAGGTACAAACACACACATATGCTCCAATAGTCATAATTGATTGCTCCAAATGGGCGCCCGGCACTCCCAAATTCGATCCAATGGACGACAGGAAAATCCAACAAAAATTAGTTCATGAACACAACAAAAAGCTATTCTCTGGGCTGTGACGAAGCAGAAAAAAATCCAACAGAAGACAGCAGAAGCACAAGCTGGAAGGAAGTTGTGTCCCAGTTAGAGGCAACTGTCATCATCCTCGTCAGACTGCACACGGAGTAATTATGTGTGCAGCGCACAAATGGGAGCATTCACTGTAGGGAGCATTCTCTCAGGGCGGGGGAGGGTAATGCCTGGGCAAAGCTTGCATTGCCTGTGCCACTTACAACAACTCAAATGGTAAATGCAAAATGCAAAATGCACATTCCACAGCACCACAAAGTCCCATTAGTCGACGGATGCCGCTGTTGCTGCCTCTCAAGGATTACCAAAGGGATTGAGCCAGCACTATGGGGGGATTTGTGGGAATGGATTGAGAGCGCGGTGGACGCATAGAAGCGTTAGGACTTGAGACCCAGTGGGAGAGTTGCTTCTTTGATGTTGTTTTGTCAGCCCAGGGCTTGAGGAGTTTACTTTTGCCATAATCCTCAGATATCTAACAGAGTCGGGTGGACTGTCACGTCACTTTGCAGATAGCAATTCTGACAGCCAAAAAAGAAGAAAGCCGCAGCGCAGTCGATCGCCGTTCAGTCAAGGTCATGGGCGAGTGAGTGAGCGAAAGCGAGAGAGAAATAAGTAATGCGATAAGCTCCGTCTTGCGTAAACTGTGTGACAAAAGAAGGTGCAAAGCTGCGATCTGTTTTTTTTGCCTTATTTGTTGCAGTCTAAATTATCTACCTGGTGATGGGTTACTTTATTCTCTCTTTCTCTTTGTGCTCTCTTTGATTTACAGCTACTACGTGTAGAAGCTGATGATATTGCTTGAAGCTTTAACTGAAAACAAATACATTTTCCATTACATTACAAATTGAATAAGCAAATTAGCACGTACATACATTGGTACAAGGCCCGCACCTGCACTCAGATCTCAGCTGCCCACACTGTAAATCAACCCGTTACACATTCCTCTCGAAACATGCAAATTCCTGTCTAAGCAATTTCGCAATTGATTGAGCGAAAGAGAGAGAGGAGTAGATTAACTTGAGTTTGGACAGATACAGATCTCTCGGGGTGTGACAACGTCTCGCTAGACAATGAATGGATCCATCGATGACAATCCCTTGTATAATTAGCATAGATGAGTGAACGACTCTACGTAAATGTTTTTCATTCTATACTTTTGTGACCTAGTCGAGGAGTCACGCCTTATTTTTGGCATAAACAAACCTTAGATGTTTTGCGGGGAAGCCGCATAGAAAATCGAAACGAAAACTCAAGCTGAAACAATTGTAAATGGTCAGCTAATTGCCCAAACGAGTCCAACAACGGACAGTGGGGGAGACAGACACAAGTATGCCAAAGTATTTTACACAGATACACGAAAAGAAAACACGAGAAGGCGGGACGGGGAGTGTGTGGCGAAACCAAAATGTAGGGAAATTGTGTCTGCCATGGGCTTTTCCCACTAGGAACTTTGCCCACGCGCTACGCCACACACACACACAACATGTCTTACGAAATGGAACATCAAAATACACAGCATTCCGTGTGGGCAGTTTTTCTCATTTCACGATCCATTTGGAGTCCCGCTATCAGAGGCGGGCAGCCAGCCAGCCAGTGATAGCGATCTGCAAATCAAATATACCGCAACCGATAAGATATACTCGTGCTCGTTCACTTCGCATAGCTCGGGGCTGAACAGAATCGCCTCTCTGTCTGTCTGTCTGTCTGCCTGCCTGTGTGTCTGGCTTGGGGGCAGTGAAAATTGAGCAATTTTTGTGCAATCTTTTGGCATGGGGCAGCGACTACAGTCAAGTCAATCAACTGTAATCGGAATGAGAATGGAAATGGAATTTGAAACAGAATTCGAAGAGGTTGCGACAAAGAAAACTGACAAGCACAAGCCGCAGCACATCGTACAACAAATCAATGCGGGCCAGGGCTAAAGTGGACTCAAGTCATAGACCAAGACTCACCTCCATCAAGTGGCAACGCAGTCTTCCGTCTGGCATACTATTTCTCTTTGGCGTTTGTTCTTACATTTTGTTTTTTCTTTTGCATAAATCTATAATGAGATTTAAAATGCAACTGTCGCAGATAATGGCATTGTCCACGATTCCGAGCAATCAATGCAGCTTACTGGGCACGGACAGGAGTATGATATAACATTTAAAACCGATTTTAATTTTACGTTCCACTAAAAAATAATGATTACATTTACGTTTAGCCAATTCTCTAAATATGTATTTAAAATACCCCAAAAAATCGAATAAACAACAGCAGTAAATATGTATCGATATATAAACAATTAATTAAACTATTGGCACGTTTCTGAAGCGGAAGTACATTTCCTAATTATTTGTAGTTTCCCACATAAGTACAAACATACAATGTTTACCAACAAAAGCGAAAGATGGAAACGATTTCCTTTGATATTTCCTATTTCCCTTGGTATTGTTTATAGAATAATCAAGTAGGCATTGAAATCAATGCAAATTACAACGAGTAATCATTTCCAGCTGTCTAAACAGAAGCCCCATTTGGCGTCCACAGTAGAGTCCTAAATGTGAGTAGTTGATGCTACATTGTATAATCTCATATTATCCTTTTTTATTAGCCTAAGATCATGTCTTGCTGCAAACGTTTCTGTCGAGTCTGTCGTCGTTGGTACTGCTGCAGTGGAAGCCCGACCTGCTGTTGTGGTGCCTATCGTGGTCCCTGCTCTGGACCGTGCGGTGGCCCCTGTCATGGTGACAGCTGTGGACCCTGCTGCGGCAACTGTTCCTGCTCCTGTGTGATGTGCTCTAGTGGCATCGGAACATGCGGTCAGCCCCGTGGCAGATCCTGCTTGCCCCGAAGGTGCTGAACTTGATGGATTAGTGGCGTTTGGATTTTACTGTGTGTGATAATTGGGATACTACAAAATTGTGTTGTATGTGAAATGAATACATGTTTCGATTATCTTTTTATGGAGTGGGGGGTACCCTACCTGGGTAGGGTGGACGGTCTTTTGGCTAAAAATAACCATCTTACTCATCCATGCGGTGCTTGAGGGGAGGCTTCACGCTCGACTTGCCTGCAATCTCGTTTAGCCACCGCCTGTAATGGAAATCCTTCTCGCCATAGTTGAATGGGTCTTGGATATGGACCCGTCGATGGGCTACGAGGGAAGAGAAGGGGCAGGCAAGGAGAGTAAATGCGATTACGGGCATAAACGATTAATTTTATTGCATTTAGCTCGGTCTCTTGTTTTATAAACTAATTAAAGCACACAGAGTGGACAGCTCAGCTCCAGTTCTCTTTGACCCTGCTGCACTGTCCCATTTTCCCCCTCCAGCCATTGCCCGATTTGAACGGCTTGAACGACTTCAAAGCTAGACAAAACAACAGACAAAAAAGGGTTAATTGTCTATTCCATCCTATCTCCCTTCTCTTTCTTTGATGGTCACTCTTGTAAAATCCCTGGCCCTCTTCCCACTCTTCCTTTCTTTACGCTCTCTTGCTCGCAATGGAGGTTGCAGTTATTCTAATTCCATTACTCTTACAGAGAGGAGTCTCTAACTTTTAAATATCTGATGCAGCAGACACTACATGCATCCATAGACTTGCGACTTGCAAGGGTATCAGTTGCTTCGACTTCTCGTCCTGACTTTTTCATTCTGTTTTGCGTCTGTTTTCCATTTACTTCTTTGGTTTTGGGGACAAGTGAGCAATGTTTTCTAGGCCGAAATTACTCCGTGGCGTGGCCCTTGCTTCGAGTTCCCTTTGTGCTCTTTCTCTTGCCTTTGTTGTTGTCATGTTGTGAGTGGTTTGATTCTTTTTATGCTCTCTTTCTATGTTGTGCGTGCGTGTGTGTGCACTGCTCTTGTTTTACTTTTTTCATGTCATGCCTCATTTAGCTTTTCACAACATTTCCACCAAGCGAACGAACACAAGCAACCGCCAACGTGTGTCGCACTCACTCAGAAATAGTATCTGGTAATCTGGAGCACTGCTTCCTAATACTCTTCACACGCCTCACACAAAATTAACCCAAAGAAACTAGGGTAGCCGTGTGTTTGGGAGCGTATCAAAGAGCTAGAATAAACTGGAGGAATGTTCCATTGCGCCCAAAAATAATTTATGTTCGGTTAATTGAATTTAATTGAAGGTAAAATCTTCCAGGGAATATCACATTTATTCCTTACAAAGTAACAAATACAAGAAAGCACATATGCAGTTACTTTTTGTTTACCTATTTCCCGCGTACAATCATTAAATATTTCTAAACTAATTTCCCTTTGATTCATTGTAAATGATATAAATAATGTTTCATTTGATGCGAATTCCGATTGTGAAAATAATCTATGCAATTTTTTGAAAGTGAAATTTTCTACTATCAAGTGACACGCACACCCTCAAACGATCTATTTATTGCTTGTTTATACTTGTAAATGGGTGTAGGTGTTTGAATTCCAACACTCGACTCGTGTCGTCTTGGCTTGATTCTACATTTCGACGGCGCTTTCGGCTTAGCACCTGCTCTTCGTGTGAGCCGAGGGCCCCACTCTCGTTGCCTCTCACCTCTCTACCCGCCCCGACTGTCTCTTTCTGGCCAGTGGGGATGGGTGCTGAGCAGCAGCCGCCGTTTTTCAAATGCTAAAATTGGCGATTAGTCAAAATGATGTCACCGAGTTATTTTGATTGTTTTTATTTTATTTTACTATTTGTATATGTATACGTACATATACATATGTGTATGTACTACATACTTGTTTGACTTTTGCATTTTGGTGACATCTTCCCTATAAATTCCAAATAATTGTTTTCGTTAAAAGTGAGGAAATGCGCTCTGCTGCAGATAAGCGCAATGCTGGATTGTCTCGATGGGTTCCCTATCGGCCATTACAAATGACATTTTATCCACAACTTCCTGACAAAATCGAATTATTAGACATACTTCTTAAGGGGGTCGGTCTCACTCTATTGCTCGGAAGAGAAACTACGAGAATGCACATTCTTGATCAGCATCAGAATTTGTAGTGATTAAGCGGCAGTGAAATTCATACAGCTCCCAAAACGTTCTTGAACACCCAAAGCCAACCCAATTATACAATTTCCTAGTAGCGATATGATAGAATAAGTTATCCAAGTGCAACTAAATCCATACACTGCCAGATAAACATAGTTTCACCAAGGGTATTTCCAGGTTCGACCCCCGCTCGGCCCTATCATTCTCGCCCAATTAATCAGCAGACTGACAGTCTGCCATATGGCAACGGGGTCCAATATCTGATCTAATCGCCTAATGAAAATTTAGCAAAATTAAGTGAAAACTCAATTGAACTCACCGCCTTACCCCTCACTCGATAACCACATTAAATAACGACACGATGGACACGATGGTGGGGCAGGAGCCTCCCTGGGGCGTGGCATGACAATTTATTCGGTTAAAATATTTCAGAACGATTTCCAGACAAAAGCTACTGCACAGACAATGTGGCGAAGGGGGACCCAGTGTGGGGTAGACTGCTTTTTTTATGAATGAACATTTTCGCTGCGTCGCACACAATAACGGGAAAACTCTACTACGCAGCCCACGTCAAAAGTGGAATGAAAATTGAGCAATTTTCGCTGCACGAAGCCCGTTGGGGGGTTTTGTGATATTGCCATTGTTTTTGCTGTATCTTCCGTTATGTCTTGTTTACCTTTTGTAATTAGCAACGTTTCTTTTGCGTCACTTTTCGCCCTGCGCGTCTTCGATGGAGTAGCGGCTGAGCTGCTTCTTCTTCTTCACTTCTTGTAACTAACTGTTTTTTCTCTTAACTTTTTTTATTTTTTCGATTTAATTTTCACCTGCTGTTCGTACTGCAAAAATTACACTTTCCAGAGAGGCTGCGCCCTTTGGCCCTTTGTACAAATATTTAAGCCAATAAACTTCTTTTACACACACACACACACACGCGCGGAAGAGCGAGGGCAGCAGAGCCGAGTTTTAATCCGCGCTGGAGCACATATACACTTTTAGATGAATGAAGAAGGGGGGAGAGGGGGCGCAGATAAACTTTCGCACGAGAGTTTGGCGTTGACGTGTTGGTACCAGCGCATATCTTATCAATTTTGTTTACCAAGTCTTTTTAAAAAATAAAACAAAGATGTGAACCAGTGTGACCGCGGAGTTATCGATAAAATATACCAGCAGACCCTCGGAAATATACCAAAATATACCCTTCATTTGCGAAATATACTGTAAATATACCGTAATTCTGAAATCATTTTCCTCGATTTTGATGTTCTATTTAATATTACTAGCTTGCAAAGACTTTCACCACTTAAACAATAATTTAATCCGATTGAAAAATCAATTTTTCTTATTGTAAATACTCCTTTTTATTAGATTGTATATCTTATGACCTTATATTTTACAAATTTGTATTTTAATTTTGTTTTAAATCAGCTTTTCTGGAAGCAAGGGAACTTTTTCTTCAGTGTGTAAATGTATGTAAGTTATTAAGAGAGACACATGTATATTAACTGATAACATTGAACATTATTTAAAAATAGAGCGCGCAACAAAAGAGGAAAATAAACTCTATTGTTTGTCTGAAAGGGAACATTAGTAAATATTACAGTAAGCTCGGAGTGGGTTTGGGGGGCAGTTCTTATATATATACAAAATTATTGGCGCTAGGTTCTGGCTTATAAATTGAAATTACATTTTTCTTTTGCTAAGGAACACCGGATAATAATGACAAAATCATCATTAACGTATTAAGTAGCTAATTCTTAATTGGAAATAAATAACTAAATAAATACTATAACCCATATATTGTCTATAGTAAAATATTAATATATTTTATTTTAAATTTAGTTTTTGTCATTAGTTCATTAGTTCAAACTCCCTTCGCAAAGGAAAAGAGCTTTCAAACTCCCATAACAAACCAAGGGAGCTTTCCAAGCTAAGGTGTCGACAACAGGATAATACGTCACAAAAACTTCAGTGGCGCCAGGTAAATAACACGGCGATTTTTGATCCTACGTAATGGAAATTCTCCAGGGAAGTTCTCTCCTGTTTCTAAACGGTCAGGGAAATTCTCTCCTGCCAGAAGCTCTAGCAAGCACTATTACGGATCCTTTAAACAGGGGCGAAAAAGGTGGGAGCTTAAAAAAGTTGGTCCTTTTTTACCTGCTTACCATAGCTTGCGGTATGTTGCGGTAAGTTTAAAAGGTTTCGTGAGTGGGAAAGGTTGCTGGCCAACCTGGCTTTGTTGGCACTATTTCCATTTTATACGCCATCTGTTGATATTTACACAAACTTATTTTTCTAACTATCGATGCACACCCGTACTTTATGCGATTTTTCAACGTTTAACAGCACTGCGATTGGTGTCTCATCTGTGTCCTTCAGTCTTTGTCAGCAAGGACTCGTGTGCCTTCAGCAGCTAGCTATTGTCAGTGAGCAAACATGCGCGCCATCTTTTAAACTTGTTCTCCAACTTCTTCCCAAGTTCGCAATTTTCGTTTTCTTTTCCTGCCATTCATTGTCAGTTTTGTTCCGAGGATTAATAGAAATACTGTCAACGCTCACGTTTCGTGACCGCATAATGAACTCAACCTTTTCCTCTTTCTAATATTCTACGTGTAGCATTCAATTACGGCCCAGACAGCGCCACAAACCCCCCAAGCAAGAAGACAAGCAAATAATAAACGAAAGGAGCTGCTATTCTTATCCTTTGTTTGTAGCTAAAAAAATGCTGTTAATATTTTCCCATTCGCCGGAGAGAGCAAAGAGGAGCTTGGGCCTTGTGTGTGTGCAATTATTTGCAACATCATCTTGTATGACTTCGCATTGGCGCTTGGGGACGCACCAACGTCAATGACTGACAGTTTATTTAATAGAAATTTCGACGAGTGTGTGGGTTGCGTTGTGTTTCTTTTCCAAATAGTTTTCCCCAACCCCGTAGCACACACGCACGCCCCAGGAGCAGTGACAAATTGTGTGGAAAATATGCATAATAAATGAAGCCACGCACTGTGAAATATGAACTTTTCCTGTTATTAGGAGCAAGAATTCAGCGTAAAGTTTTAAGCGGGGCTAAAAATAGAGTAAAATGGTGCCCAAAAGTTGGATCTATACAAATAAAAATACAAATTTTTGCAACCCGAATGTGAACTATGCGATTATAACATAATTGGTTTATTTGTTTATTAATTTTTGTTTGTTAATTTTCCAACTCATTTGAAACTCTTTCCACATCAATTACCTTTCTTTGTATCCAAAATATTGCTGGACAGCCCTCGATAATTGCATTTAACAGCATTTATATAGCTTTTAGCCATTCGATTTTTATCTTTTTTTTCTCTCATTTGAAATGAATTTTATTGCAAGCAAAAAATCCAACTGCCCCTCTGCCGCATGTAGTCAGTGGCCATCGTTCCATATGCTTTGCTATGGGCGACCCAAACCGCATTAATGCCATGCAGCTACGCGGAAACAAAATCAGAGGGTGGAGACTCAAAAGGGCGGAAGAAGCAGCAGCAGCAGCAGCAGCAGAAGGAAGCTGAAAACAAAAAGAAAAATGGGAATCTAATAAAAATCCACTTTGTGCAAGTATGAAAAATGAACGATGAATTTCATTATAAATGCAAAAATATATTCACCGCTGCAGCGGCTGATGGGTGGCTGGCTGGTGGCGTTTGGCATTGCTGGACATGGCCAGGCGGCTTCAGTAAATCTGATCAAAATCATTGATGCGTATAGGATGAGGATAAGCAGAGGCAGCGGCAGGGGCAGGGGGGGAAAGCGGCCGGATTGGCAGGATGCACCAGACGCAACTGCAGCGGAACGTGGCGCACTTGCAAAGTTTTTTCTCCATCCCAAAGCCGCAACCAACCCTCTGCCAGCTTTGTGTCGCTAAGCTGTTGATAACATTGATGATGACGACGCGGGATAACCGCAGTGATAATGTTTGGGCTGCCGTGCCAGGTGAACGCCAATTGGCAGGGACAAAGCCGGCACATCCTCCGCGCTATGGCAGTCGCTCGTCCTCGTCCTGTGCGTGCACAGCATTAGGAAATTTGCGTTGAAATGGAATTTATTTTTGGCTTAGAGATGGATGATGAGCCCGGAATAATAGTGCAGAATAAAGAGAGCAGCAGCAGCAGCAGCAGCAAGGACTGACAGACGAGCAACGCCAGGAATTTATAATTATTTGCAGGATGACTTTCTGGTCTGGCTCTGGCTCTGGCTCTGGCTCTGGTCTCCCGCGTCTGGCCATTGACATTGAGCTAAGCTCAGAGCCAAACAAAAATTTGCAGCCGCGTGTGAATAATTATGGTTTAGTGGGTGGAAAGTTGAGCGAAGAGTGCAGCTAGTCCCCAATGCATTTTGCAGCCAAAGTCAACTGTAGTTCAGGTTAAAAATCGTATCTCTGAATTGCAATCTATCGTTAGCAGGCGGCAAGCAATCACAGTCTCCACGCCACACGAGAGTGTCGTGTGCCCCCCGCCAATGCCATGCAATTATTTGTATAGGAATTTAAATTGAATGTCAGTCTGTTTGTTTCCCCTAACATACACATGCCCATACCCGTACCCGTATCCGTACTCGTACCCGGACAGACACAAAGACTCCACACACACATTTGCTGACAGTTTAAGGAACATGTGAGAAGGCATGGCATCCAGTCAGCAGAGAGTCCAGGAGCCAGGACTGCGACTGGGACTGGCAGTCGCACTGGTACTGGTACTGCGACTGGGATCCAACATAAGCAGTTCTTTGGTGGCCTTCCTGCCTGCCTGCCTTCCTTGTCTGCCGTAAAATTCCAAATTTGTTTTATTTGATTTCTGCGCTGCTGCCGCTCGTTTTCTTTTCCAAGTAGTAACTGCTGCTGCTGCTGCTGCTGCTTCTGGTGCTACTGCTGCATATTTCCCTTTATGCAAAATATATGCTATAAATGCCACGCCTCCACCAGCGCATACCCACACACCGACAGACAGTACGCTGTGCGCCTTTATTTGAATATCGTGTCACATGTCGCACGCAGTTAGCTACCGCTCCAGCTCCAGCTCCAGCTCCTGCTCTCTCTCTCTCTCTGTCTCGTTGTTATTGTAATTGTTGTAAATGTCGCCCAGCGACAATATCACATTTGCATATTTCTCTGCCAAACACTTCTGGCACCCGAACTCCCCGCACTCCCCACTCCAGCATTCACATCCTGCTCTGTGTGTGCATTTTTACTTAATTTTATTTGTATTGGATTTGCGCCGATGTTCGCCTCTGCCATCAGCGCGTGTTCCGGCTCCCGCTCTCTCTCTCTCTCTCTCTCACACTCTCTCGCTTTTGGAATTCTGCAATTTGCACAATAAATTTTAATTCAATTTACTGTTAAATTCACACACACACACACAGCCACCGAGCAGAGACAGTTACACGCACAGCTACAACTGCAAAACTAAATGCGAACGCGGAAATGCACATTCTGGCTTGACAATCGTCCTCCGGTTAGTCGTCGAACAGCTACTTGGCTGCCAGTTCAGCTTTGGCTGAGAGTTACAGTGAAGCCTGGCAGAGAGGCTAACTGGGAAGGAAGATTCGGAATGTTTGGCATTTCTTTTGGAAGTATCTGTTTGGATTGCTGACTAATTATGGCACTTCAATTCTTCATTACAATTTCCTTTTTAACTCTGCTTTTCTTTGGCTGCACACAGCAGACTGTAGCAATTGTTTTTGCCAACTGTCCCAGGCGAGGGGTGCCACTTCTCACCTCTGTCTCTCTCTCTGGCCCTGCTCTACCACACTGCAGTTATGCCAACCCGTTTGTTAGTGCAGTTTATGCGCTGCAGCGAACCCAAAGCAGGCAATAACTTGCACTTATTATGATAATGGTCGCGCATGTGCAGCCATTTTGATTGTGCTGCAGCTTTCCCCTTACCCTTCCCTCGTGCCTTGCTGATTCGTTTTAAGTGAATTGAATGTGCGCAGCTGCCCCAACCGAGTTACAGCGAGAATCAGTGACTAAACTAATTTGAAATTGTTGTCAAAAAGTGCGAGACTCAATTTGTTGGCTTTGCCTCTTCTCTCTCTCCCTCTACATTTTGCTGCTGTTTGTTGTGCTTGCTGGGAAATGGAGCCAAAGCCAGAGCCGGCGGAACAGGCGTTAACTGAAC